TGTGTGTGTGTGTGTGTGTGTGTGTGTGTGTGTGTGTGTGTGTGTGTGAGAATGGGTGGGATTATCATAAATGATCGATTTCAGCAGAGAAGGGTTTAAATAGGTGTTGTAAAACATTATGTTACTGCTGTCACGTAGGCCTCCGGTGTTGCGCCCGCTCGTGCTGTGAACGCGCCTGGACAACTTGACTCGTCCTGAGGACACCTCGGTGTAAACAGCGAGCAAATAGCAAGGCGCATATTTTGATGCTCGCAAATTAGAGCCTATAAAAAGTGACTAACGCCAGGTGTGCCTCTTAGAGGAGTTTAGCAAAGCCTCCAAACAAGTAAGTCTGGGCTCTGTTTTATTTTTTTCTTGGAGACACCGTAACGTCAAGCGCATATCCGCTTAGCACCAGTTTCTCTCAGGCGCCGTTTCAACACTTATTCAGCACACACGTAGCTAGCTTGTTCAAACTGCGACAGTCATGTGCTCGGTTATAAACAGAGTCAAAACAATTCACCGAGTTGCGGCTCTGTCGCTGCGGCTCAAGGGAAACACCGAGGGCTCGAGTTATGCTGCAGCCCAGAGCAGTCGCTTGTGTCCCGGTGTGAGTTCCTTCGTCGAGCCGCTACCAGCGAGCAGGAGGTTGTACTGCTCCAGGACGTCAAAGACCGAGGGACTGCTCTTCAGACAAGTAGGTTCGGGTTATATTCACATCTCTGTTTGTTTGGTTTAATATGTCGCAACTAAACCTGGTGTTTGTACCTTTAGCTTACATTCAGTGTMAAGCAGCAGGAAGTGGGAGGTTAGCTGATAGCATGTCTTTGTTAGGGCATTGTCGGGCTATTAAAATGTAAACAAACTGTGTTTTTCATGAATTTTTGTGGGTTGTTTACAGGAATATTCCTTGATAACGCGTCTCTAGTTTCGATCTGCTCTGAGTCTGTTTTACCGTAAAGTTGCGAGTTTGACGGCTGCAGAAATGTGTCATGATGACTTGCAGAGTCGTAATGTGTTGTGTTCTGTGCAGTGTCAATTGATTCATTTTATTAACTTTTGCGACATCATTTCACAAAGCTGTTTATGCAAATATGTTGCAACATGTAACTGCTAATTTTATGGATCATTTGCACATTTGTGCTTGTTTATCCGAAATATGACATGCTCAAAGAAAACATAGCTTGTCTTTTTAGATTTTTCCTATCAAACTTAAGTTGAGCATAAACATGTTAATTCAGAAGACTTGTTTTTTTCTCAAAAGAAAGCACATTTTGCTTTATAACTACATCATATTATAGTTCCTTACACAATAGTGTGCATTGCATTGACAATGCACACTATTGTGATTCGTTTCCCATCCAAGTCATCTCAACTTTGCCATGCTTCTCCTCCTGCATACTTTGTCCTAGAGCTGCCATTGTAATTTATATCTGTAAAGGTCCTGTGCCAAATGATTGCTATGCCTTTTGGTACCTGTACAACTTGTAGTTTTTTTGAAATATCAATGTTTAAACTTTATTCCAAATTCATATAATGGGAGTCAATGGGGCCTTGTAATGGTCCAATACTGCTCCCAGCTGTACTCAACTTGGTACTGCACCATAGTTTTTTATATTTAATCTCAGTAGTTTAGTGTTTACAATACTAATATGATTGTATTTTGATGTTTTACTGTAATATTGTCTTAATACTGCTCTATTGTTGTAATATTATGCATTTTTGTTTCGATAATTGTATTGGCAATGTGGCCTCTTTCTGCACACATACAAAGCAACCCCTGCCACCACATTTTCCCACAGCTCCATTGGTCTAATGGTCTATGTCATTGACTTTCATGTGGGAGATCTGGGTTCAAAACCCAGCTAATGTAACTTTAACAAAAAAAATCTCCTCCAACTTCATATTGTCACTCAATTACCTTAATTACAAACACCTGCTGACTTGACAAACACAAGCTGGTATAGAAAACATATTTGAACTTGGTCAAAGTTCATTCTGCAAGTCCAATGCTGCAGGCAAAGCCATGCTACATGGCAATGCACACTTGTTTTTACATTGTAAAAACCCATGTCTAGTTTCTGTCTGCCGTGCACATGACATGTACACAAAAATATGCTATCAAAGACTGGCAATTGAGAAGGACGTGAAGTACGTGACCCTCATTGCATGTTGGGAAACGTGATTTTTATTGCAAAGTCATGCACGCCTCTACTCTTGTTTTTCCTGTTCAGCTGTTCGAGCATGAGAGCTGCACCTACACCTACCTGCTTGCAGACACGAAAACCAGGGAAGCCGTCATCATTGATCCTGTGCTGGAGACTCTTGACAGAGATCTGAAACTTGTAAAGGAACTGGGCCTTGATTTAAAAGTGGCAGGTATCTGTTCCCATGGCTTGGCTACAAAATATAATTTTTAGCCATATCTACCAACCTCACCTGTCTTTAACCAACCCAGTGCATTTAAAGCAATCKTTTCAATATGTTTGTATTTATTTAACACAGCTGCAGCCTATCCTGTTTATGCATTAATAGCGGCATTAAGACTTGTGTCATAGCATTTATCTTGTTTTCTAAATGTTTAAATCTGTAATGTAATTATAAGCAAGATTGGATTTATAATAATGAAACCATTTTCATGTCGGTGTTTATTGCATAAATCTGTATGATTGTGCTGTCACAGCAAGATTCCCCTTAATAATAATAATAATAATATAAAAAAAACATAGCTTCCATTTCTTATTTTCATATTGACCTGTGCTTTATTCTCTTTTTGTTAATTCTTGTAGTAAACACCCACTGCCATGCGGACCACATAACAAGCTCAGGATTGATGAAGAAAAGACTGGTTGGATTGAAAAGTGCCATTTCCAAACACAGCGGTGCAGCTGCAGATATTCAGTTGTCCGAAGGGGACGAGATCTCTTTTGGTAAACATGTAAGAAGAACCTAACCCTTTTTTATTTTATTTTTTTATTATACGCCGTCATTTGATTTTATTTATAGATTTGTGAGGCAAATGTTTGCCTTTTCTTTCTACCTTTCATTTTTGTTCAATATATAAATATGTATGCATCCGATCCTGATCCAAAATCCCTTTGGAGCTGAACTTTGCCTTGAACTGACCAATTGACCTTTCTCATCTCCAGCATCTGACTGTGAGAACAACACCAGGACACACCGAKGGGTGTGCAACCCTGGTGCTGGAGGATCAGAGCATGGCTTTCACCGGGGATGCTCTGCTCATTAGAGGCTGTGGCAGAACAGACTTCCAGCAGGGTAATGACATGTCTTTGTTTTTAACATTTTCATTCCTTTAGATCAGCATTTCACAACCCTGCTCCTGAGGACACATCGTCCTGCGTATTAGATGTTTCCCTGCTTCTACAGCTGATACAAAAAAAAAAAAGAATAGTCTCAACAGGTTGTTGGGAAGTTCTGCTGAAACCTGATGACTCGTCAGTTTACTGAAACAAGGACAAACCTAAAACATGCAGGACAGAGCCAAAAGGATCAGGACTGAGGGGGAAAAAATTAATCTTTCATTTTTTTGTAATTCCTTCAAATGAACACAAGGGGATAGTATTTAATTGTATTTAGTTTAGTTTTCTTCCGTTTCTCTTAATAATGGGCCTCATGCAAGAACCGTTCGTACGCACAGATTTGTTCTTAAATTGTGCGTATGAGTGATTTAGGAGAATTTGTGGCATTCACCAATGTTTCCGTATTCTACAATTTTACGGTGCGCAGCGCTGCGGCTTCTGAATAAATGAAAATGATTTAACGCAGTTGTTTATGCTTTTAGCAGCTCTTTTATTCCACAGCTGACCTGCTAAAAATGACAGATTTTCTTTTCTGGATCTCTGACAGACGG